CGCATAATTGCAACCAATGCTCTCATTTTATATCTCCTCTTCCCCCTCGTATGCATATATAATTCCATGAAGAAAACATTATTTTAGTCAGGTAAATTCTTTCTAGAGGACGAAACGTGTTGCATGGAATGTTTTCCACTTTGTTATTCATCTGCCTAACATTGTTCTGATCTCTAGATATTTATATATATATATTCTGCCACATATACTAAACGATATTTTGTCCCGATTGGGCGAGTATGGCTAAATTCGTCCTCTGTGTTCTCAGGAGTCCATTGGAATAGTTTGTGGCCTTTATGATCTATAGTGCAACCAAACAATTAAATTCTTCAAGGTAAATTGGTACAGGGTGGGTAACTTGACAAGCCCTAGTAGCTCAGACCTTCTTATTGTCATTGAAATACCTTTTCTGTGTAAAAGTTTTTCCATGGTTCATGAGGTCACTTGAGATGATAGAGTGAACATTAGAAAGCAGAGGAAGAGTTAACTATGCAACTAATATCCAGACGGGGATGGACATTATTATTTGATTTTTAAAATATTTTTCGACTGTGTATTCTCTCTATGTTTTTCAAAAAATACGGCACTGGGAATTTTTCATACACCTAAAAAGTCATCTGAAGTGAAGCAAAGCTGCAAATTCTAAATTATGCTACCAGATTTGTTTTCAGACTGACACTTGGGAAAATTGCTCGAACAATGTCAGACAAGTGACAGTTTGGAAGTCAAGATTCAATGCCATTTTAGAAACACAACGGAAAACGAAAATCAGTTTTTCCATAAGGATAGAATAATTAAAGGTGGATGAGTTAACTCGTTTCAATGACGCAATTGAATTGAAAATAATATTTTTCTAGTAAAGAAAGTCGATTGGAGATTTCTGCTGTATAATAACGTTCATCCTCATGTTGCAAATACAAAGCAAAATTAATTATGGATCCGAAGCGGTAAGTCCTTCCAATGTGGCGTAATCTCTAGATCCCTCAAGGACATCTACTTATTAGTATTTTTTGTATTAGTACTTCTTTCACTTTGCAATGATGGGGGAAACAACCTCCAGTGTAGCCTATTCTGCGTTCAATATAAGCTGGTACACAAATTTAACTATCGCGGGCTGTGTAATAACAGACGCCAGAAAATGTGACACAGAAATTCGAAGGCTGGTCGGAATAGCGAAATATTGCTTTCAGAAATTAAGCGTAGTATTGATGAATTTTACTATAAACAAGTGTACTGAACTGCTGTGTCATATCTATCCTCCTGTATGTCAGTGGATGCCGGACAATTTCTCTTAGATGAAGAAGAGAGAAGAAAAAAAAAGAGAGACAAAGATGAGGTTCTGTAAACGGATGTTAGGAATACAGTGGAGGGAACAACTGAGCAATGACGAAGTTCTAAAGAAAATGGCAACTAGAGAGAGATACTTAACATCAGAAAAGACAGTTGAAATTTCTGAGAAACATTACGAGAAAGGAGGGCTTGGGAAATTGAGTATTCCCAGGATGTATTGAGGGAGGGAAGTATAGAGGGAGACTGGTAGACAGGGACAAGGATGAATGGTAGAAAGTCAAACGTTTTAAAAAATTATTTTACTCCAAGCAAGGCGATGAAGTTATTAAGATCTAAAACGCAAGTATTTACTTACAAGAAAGGACAATAGAGTGAAAGAGACTAAAAATTGTTATTGAGGAGAAAGAACAATAAAAAGAATAGAATTCAAGGAGACAGAAGTTGACATTTGGCGCTACATTTAATTTTCTTAGAGTTATAAGGCAGAGGAGGGGTATTTGCTAACCGCTCCACGCGGTCAGATGTGGCACAAGGCCGAATTTAACGTGGGTTATCCGAGCCCGTAGTTTCGGCAAAAATTCCCCGTAGACCCAGTAAAAAACGAGGTCGAGTAGCAGTCTACCAGATCAGACTAGACTCTACCCTTCGGCATAGCCTCGTCTGGGTTCGACCAGCTCAGCCGGAGAGGAATCTCCGACTAATTTCCGAAGGCAGAGGAAGTTGTTGAAAGCCATGATTACCCATTTTCTGAAAGGGTCAGGGCGCACAAATTATGATGATTAGTCGTTGTTGAAAAAAAAAGAAAAAAAAGGAAGCCCTCAAAAAAAAAAAAAAAAAAAAAAAAAAGAAAAAAATTTGATGTCTAGTTATTTGGCCAGATATTAGTAAGTGGGCCAGAAAGAGAATTTAAATACCTTCAATATATATATATATATATATATATATATATATATATATATATATATATATACACAGGTACATTGGGCAAATTGTCGCCATTTTATATTTTTAATTTTGCACTCTGTATATATCGCTCTCTCTCTCTCTCTCTCTCTCTCTCTCTCGCTATATATATATATATATGTGTGTGTGTGTGTCTGGTATGGACATATAAATCAACATTTGTTGGTGACCTTCAGTTTCATGCTTTAAGCAATCTTCAGATCATATGTCTAATCTAAACTCAATAACACCTCATAACTTAAATAGACTAGGTACTTCGACGTAGTGTAAGGGTTAGCAAGCTTGTACCATTACATAAATTACAACTGAACTGTGAGTTCCATTTTCACTGAGTGCTCCATACTTTCGGCCTTGTGCCACATCTAAGCTACGCTTCGAAAATCTCCATAGCTTTATTTCAAAATTTAAAATTGAAGAAAATATAAAAAAATAACAAATAAATGAATACATGAATAAAATAAAAAATAAAAATAAATAAAGCAAATTAAAGATCAAGGCTATAAACAATCCAAAACATTAACTTTATAAAAAAAAAAAGCAGGGAAAGTGTAGTTTCCTTCTTGCCCTTCTTCATATAAGTCCCTCAGTGACCTATAAATGGAATTCTTTTACAAAGTAGTGACACATGGTCTGAAGATATTACCTCTTATCGAAGGTAATATAACGTGCTCCTATGGGAAATAGTGAGGGGAGCAATTTTTATCCCTAATCTTATGTACACGTGGGACTTCCATTTTAAAATCGGTGTTTTATATATTTCCTTCTTGTGGGTGTACGAATAAATGTCCATGATCTGAATATCACTCGATGTGTGAAACTGAAAGTCGCCATGCATCGTTGATTTCTATGCCTACACAGTCTGTATCTACAAACACCCTATCTCTGCCAATGGTCACACTTCACCATACATATAGCAAATTCTGTACAATATGTATATATATATATATATATATATATATATATATATATACAGATATCATTAGTTAAAATATTTATTTTAAACTAATATCTTAAAAGGTTATTTTGTTGTTTATTTTTTTTCTTTCACACGATATAAAAAGAAATCCTGGTTGGATAATCCTGTCAGAACATGAGTGAAGAAATAATGAAATCGAATCTAGAAAAATGGAATGAAAAATCGATAAACATTTTAGAAATTAAAAAGAAAATATTAGAGCCCAACACACATTTTAGAAATTAAATAAAACAGTGCCCTCGGAAAAAAAAGAAAAAAGAAAAGAAAAGAAAATATATTCCGATCTCTTTTAGGAGAAAAACTGAAAATACGTAAAATAGCCTTTCCCATTTCTCATTTCCATCAATCAAAGAATACAAAAAGGTGCCTCTATATACAAAATGAATGTGAGTAATCAAAAACAAAGGAAAAAGAAACACTATTTTACAAACAGAATCGTGCGCGCGCATCCGTTAAGTTACTTCCTGTACAGCGTTATCCGTTCGTCCGAAAATAATATAAAAAAAAAACCCCAAAAAAACCCTGATGTTTAGTGTTGAGGACAGTATTTTCCACCTCCGTCAGCGAACAGGAATATAATGCTTTAGTAAACAATCGGTCAACAGACTAAGAAATCCAAGTCTCGTCTTCTCACTCTATTTCAAAACTTAAAAACACCAAAATAAAAAAAAGCACACATTTAAGATTAAATGCTGGCAAACACATAAGAGATAACAATTCACGAATTTGTTTGTCTCTGGAATTGCTATTTTAAGAATTGAAAGCAATAATCGAGTCAATCATAGCACGTTTTATTACTTTGAGTGTCACCAGTGAAGATTTAATTTCAACTCAAAGTTCGCTGACATCACGAGAAAGTTATTGGAATATTAAATAAAACCCGGTTTATTTGTTCACTCCGTTAAGTTTGTCGGTTTAATTTATTTTTATAGTTTTCCTTATTTTACAAACATTTTTTTATCATTTTTAACTGAAGTGGAAATCAAAGACTTGAGTAAGGAAGAGAAATAGTGCTAATATAAAACATCAATAATGCGGCAAGGTAGAAAATTACTACGGATTTTATAAGAGAGCGATAGCAAACGTTTGTGGTTAGGCTAATTTAGTAACAAATTTTATGTTTGAAAAGAACATATCCTCATTTGTCAACCCTCTCTCCACGCCGCTACTGATGTCAGGTAATTCAACTCACATTAGCTCTGACGTATAGACACTTGTCTAACCAAGAGAGACCCTCTCTTTTTTCCTACTTTTTTCTTCAGAAGAGTACGAAGAAGAATAAACAGATTTAGGAAATATCTTCATGAAAGAAATACCGCAGGCACTTCGACGTGGTGTAATGGTCAGCAAGTTTATATCGCTAAATCAATTACGACTGAGTAGTGAGTTCAATCCTCACTGGGTGCCCCATACTTTCGGCCTTGTGCCACATTTAAGCTACGCTTAGAAAATCACCATGAAAGTGAGAAAGGGATGTAAGAAGCAACAGCGATGTGGGTTGAACTGTGGTCGGGATGTGAATGAAAACTTCCTTAATTGACCTAGATAAACATACTTCAGCTTCTGTGTACCATTTCTCATCAGGACGTGAGCGATCATGACTCTCCACAACTTCCCATTCTTTCTACTCTATTTATCTCCTTACTATCTCACTCAGAGTCCATCAACACAAGCTCTTTAGGTAGGTTACTAGCTGCATTTTTCTGCTCCTCTTGCCTTTAATATGTCATGTGAGTGTCATATTTTACAAGCCTTCTTTCATTATTTAGGCTTACGGCCATATCACGTTGAAACACCGCTTCTCGTACGATCATCAAAGTTAAGCAACGTTCAGCCTAGCCAGTATCTAGAAGGGTGACCGCTTGGGAATACCAGGTAATGTAAGATTGTATGAGTGGGTGGTGTAATAGATAACGACTGGGGAATTGGAGAGTCGAGTTTCAGTTCCCGTTGGGTTCGTTATATTGACTTACGTGTAAATACCATTGGGAAATAAATGAATTCACCTCTTCATCTACCAGCTATAGGTTAATTAGTAAGATTGATATAAGTAAATCATTTTCTCCAAAAATTCTTACAATCTAAAATATTTTAAATAACCTTCAAAATATGTTAAATAATTTTAAAAAGTTTGATAAGCTATAAAAAAAATAAACCAGTCAATCATAAAAAAATCAACAGTCTCTTTCTAATTCTAAGTATTTTTTTCATTTCCATTTTCCTTATATTTTACTAGTTGCTCAAATATTGGATAGATAGCAACTCTAGACTTGAACAGATTAATATTTGTCGGGAGAGCATCCTCTTGGGAGTCGGTTCCATGAAGTATCGGTTCGGCGGAAAAAGCTGTTCGAGTGGAAATTCTTTCTCACTAATGGAATGCGATGATGGTTCGTCTCAGTGCACGTGACGTGACGTATCTTAGCTGTGAGGGTTACAGCTAGAACATTAAATAATGTAGTCAGAACATATGCCATGGAAATAGCGATAGAGTAGCGAGGGGCTTGCAACGTTCCGTCTGTGGGAAAGGGTTTGCAGGGTGGAAAATAATTTATCACACCCAAGGTCGCGTAAACGCTTTTTGAACTCTATCATGGCTATAAAGTGAAGATTGGACCGCTCCTGACAAATATAAGGGAACAATAGTCCATTTTTGGACTGATCCGCCTCCTGTGAAGGTAGAGGTTACCAGGGGGATACCTACTGAAGCGGTACAGAGAACAGAGCATTTTTCTAGCCTTTTTAGGTATGGATCGTATGCACAAGTTTAACTTGAGGTCTGAGTTGAGTAACAAGGCATGGGCCTCCCTGACAGAACATCCATTCATGGATGATGATGATGATGTACAGTCTTGATAAATGAATTAATAATTAATCACCCACAAGTATGGGCAACGCTTTCGAACTCTATCGAGACTGGAAAGTAAAGACTGGGAATCTGCAGCCCAGATATGGCAGAAGTAATCCCTTTTCAGCCTGATTTGTAAAGGTAGAAGATAGGAGAAACCGTAGCGAGAACGGAAAATTTTTCCATAACCTTTAGCGATGGATCATATATACAAGTTCCACTTGAGATCTGGGGTGAGCTTAATTCCCAATAGACGTTCAAGTGAAGAGGCCTCCATGAGAGAACTTCGTACATTGCGATAGATGAAAATTCGATTTGAGTTATCGCTTTATCATTCTGCTTGTTCAAATAGAATACATCTCGAAATTCAGACATAAACACTTCTAACAGTAAAGGAAAGACATGTCTTCTCTGCTTTGCTTGTTGGTTAAATACCCAAATATCCATGAAAATATTGATTTTTTTATAGATTTAAAAAAGGCAAATCATCATCATATATATAAACTGCATCTAGAGATTATATGCAAGTTATGAATTGGTATAAAGAGTTTTTAATGTTAAAAGTCCTATTATGATGTTGTTCAGATTCTACTCAATATTATTAACTTAGATATATAGTGATAGAGAAAAGTATTGTTTTTGGTTGGAAAAAATTTTACTAAGTTAACAAAACAGACTAATTTGACTGTCAATAGTTTATTTGCAACTATTTATTTTGATAATTTTACATTATTATACCTTGTAAAACTAATGTAAAAAAATAATATGAAAAGATTTTAGAACAAATTCGTCAATTTCTTAAAGGAAAAACATAAAAAAACATTTTATTTTAAAAATAAAAGATATATTAACAAAAAATAATAAGAACCTCATAAAATTTATTGCACAAATGCTCCTTTCTTTTCAATAACTCTTAGCAGCCTATTGATGTTAGATTTGCAATTTTAGCGGCTGGTAAGTTGTTTGCAGCAACTTTAACTGCCTCCCAGAGGTCACACTTGCTGTTGAATAGCCTTCCATGAGAATAAATATCTCTCTTGAGGATGCTCCACAGGTTCTCAATGGGATTCAAGTCACAGCTATTTCAAGGCCAGTCCATAAGAGAATCTTCAACAAATTCCTTTTCTTTCAACCAGGATTTAGTAAACTTTGATGCATGACTTGGTGCGTTGTCTTGCATAAAGATCATAGATCTACGCTTGGCTAAAGACTGGTTATCAAGCCATTCAAAGAAATATTGCTCTAGAAAATCACAGTAACTTTTGGAATTCATTTTAACCCCGTCTTTCAGTTTAAATGGACCCATGAGCTCATTACCAATAATCCCAGCCCATATCATGATCCAACCGCCGCCTTGTTGGCGTTTAAAAACTTTTCTTGAGTCATGTTGCTTGCAAACACATCCTCGAGCCCATCCATCGGGCCCATCGAGGGTGATCCTTGACTCGTCTGTAAAAAGCACTTTACTGAAATCAGTTTTCATGTATTTTTTGTCCACTGCAATCTTCTTTCCTTATGTTTTTGTTAAAATGGGTTTCTTTATTTGATTTTTTACATCAGCAAACTTCCTTAATCCTTTACACCTTGTTTCCCTAGACACCATAGGAGCTCCAGTGGCCTCAAATATGAACGCACTTGACGCATTTGGGTTTCTTATTAATTCTCTTCGGATATGATAGATCTCGCTTTTATTTCCTTGGTTGAATTCCCATTTGACATATTTTCTTGATTGTTCAATGATCTCTTTTCAAATCCTTAGAAATTTGAAGCGAAGACTTTCCTTTGCTAATTTCTTTGATTATATAGTTCTTTTCATTCATTGTTAGTTCTTTTTTACGAGCCATAATACTAAATTCTAGTTCTTTCAAATAATCTCTTGACACTGCAAATTGCTATAATTACTGAAAAAATACTAAATATCAATCTGAATTTGAAAATTGGGACTTAATTGCTTTCAGTCTTACTCGCTATACATAATAGTACAAATTATTTCATTGGATAACACATATCTATGAATTTTACATAAAATATTTGACAATACCTCTTTTGCATATAATCTCTAGACGCAGTTTATATATATATATATATATATATATATATATATATATATATATATATATATATATATGAACATTGAAAGTCAACACTTAGAGGCGACAGGCTGTTTCATGCTAGACGCAATCGTCAGCCTGTTGCCTCTAAGTCTTGACTTCAATGTTTACTTTTATATTTACACACGTTCTATCTCTGATACTGAGCGCTTTATCCCATAAATATAGCACACCTTAAGACTATATATATATATATATATATATATATATGTATAATGAGCCAGTTACTACCTACCTAGGTTTCACCACATGGAATCATCAGGGTGAACTACCTTTGCTCTACTTAGTGTATTGAGCACTCTTCATTTTAACTTATTACACGCTGTTTTTTCTTTGTACCAGAGATTTAAGGTACTGGACGATTTCTTTCGCCTTGTTCGGAGGTTTCTGGTGCTTTCTTTTCTTTGTTTTTACCATTTTTTCTTGGAAGTCAATTTATTTGAAAATTGTCCTATCCAGGTTTAATCACACACACACACACACACACACACACACACACACACACACACACACACACACACACACACACACACGAGCGCGCGCGCATATATATATATTCTCCCTCCAGCTATGAGTAAAATAGCAGGACAGACTGGGTTCTATAGCCTTGGATGGCAACTGGCCTAGGAGAAGGACAACTCTGAATTCAAAACCCGCGGAGGGTCGTTTGGGAACCTTGTGGCATTCGGTGCGTCAGGTCTCTGTATTCGTCCCTTCAACGAGGCCTTCACCACTATAATCAAGTCTCATGTGCCGTTGTTGGGCTGTCGATTTTCTGGAAACTGATCTGCTTGACCCTCATACGTCGAATTTCGACGGGAGAGTCGACTATATATATATATATAAAAAATTTGTCAGTAAGCTGACTGATGTTATATTCAGTACCTCTACTCAAGAGTTTTGTAGACGAAAGTTAGTGTAATTGCTCGGTCCACAAGAGGTATCAGCAAATTGTCAATTTTCTCGTTATATATATATTTACACTCTGAATGAGAGATCGAAATTACCCTTGGGAAGTGCATAAATACATCTCTTCTCATCCAACTAATGGGTAAATGCCAGAACAGACTGGGTCCTATAACCTTAGCTTTAACACTATAATCAAATCATATATTCGGTTCTAAAAACTCTGCTGCTGGGCCATCATACGTCGAACATATATATATATATTTCTTATGACTATAAACTTGTTTGAGTTGCTATTCCTAGTTATTTTATTAAACAGTGAAATTAATAACAATCGGCCTAATATGGGAAAATGACGTGAATCGAACCTGCAATCTTAGGGAAACCTCTTACTTAAACCAAACTTTACCTCTACCAGTTCGGCCACGGAGCTAGACTGATAAGACAAAGTTAGAATCGCCTGTTAATGAAACATGTTTTTCTTGTTGAGACTTCTACGAATCTATATCTGCTAGCTTCAGTTTCGTACTCGAAACGTAAACAACAGTATTTTATTTTGAAAGGATTTTTTATCCGAAATTATTTCTTATTACTATAGACATATCCTGTCAGTCTGTCGCGATGGTCAAACAGGCAGAGATACACTTTGACCAAAACATTAACTCGCTGAACTCCTCCTAATAACCTTGTCAGATCTAGGCTCTCGGATGGATATATGGTGTTCAACTTGTTCAGAAATGTTTAAACTATCAGCTGTATAAAACCATTTTCTCAGTGATTAAAAATCGCTGTTATATGGCAGTGAATGCTGGACTCACAGATGAAGAACAGACTTGAAACAAGAGAAATGTCGTTCTGAAAAATATCATGGACCCATCGTGTGAGTAACAACGAAGTTTTAGCGAAAATAGAAACAAAACTGAACGTTATACTTAACATTAGAAAGAAACAGTTAAAATTTCAAGGGCACATAACGATAACAGCATTCGATATGTATTAGATGCACTTTAGAATAGAA